TTTTATAAAAACCAAATTCATTGAGCTAACACTCCTCCTTATCTTTGGAAGTATGTTAGAAATATGTAGGCATTTTTCAACTTATGAGGCATATTCCTAGACTACAGAAGTAAAAAGAGATGCATGGTATTACTTCTACATGAGTCATCTTACTAACCTGTCAATTCTGAAATTCATATTTCCATGCAGTACCATCTTCATGTTCAGGGAAAAATAATTATTTTTTTTTCAGTAAAAACAATTTAGCTTTTAGACAAAGTGAATTCTTGAACTACATTAAGTACTGTTTGACCTCCAGGATTTTATAGATTTCAAAAAACCATTTACTGTAATTATGATAGTTATTTTAATAAAACATACACTCCTTTTCAATCATTGAAAGCACATGTTAATCATAGGCTTTAACACTAGTCATACTTTCAGCTTCATTAATCAGATATTATGAGATATTTTATGGCTGAGGTTTTTTCAAAATTTTTATTATATTTATATAATATTATATAAAATATTTATATAATATTTTATTATATTTATATAATGTGTTATACATAGTACACATATAGAGCACAATTTTTTATCTCTGTACACACCATTTGTGACTTCATACATGTACTTAGCTTCATAATGTCCATCTCATTCCACCAACTTTCCTACCCATACTCCTTTCCTTCCTCTCCCTTCTGTTTGCCCTATTTAAAGTTCCTCCATTTCTCCCTTTCTTCCCCGCCCATCACCATTATGGATCAGCATCCACATATCAGAGAAAACATTCAGCCTTTGGTTTTTTGGGATTGTCTTATTTCACTTAGCATGATATTCTCCATCTCCATCCATTTACTTTCAAATGCCATGATTTAATTCTCTTTTAATGCTGAGTAATATTCCATACTGTATATATACCACAGTTTCTTTATTCATTCATCTATTGAAGGCATCTTGGTTCCACAATTTAGCTAATGTGAATTTTGATGCTATAAACATTGATGTGGCTGTGTTCCTGTAGTATGTGGTTTTTAAGTCCTTTGGATATAGACCGAGGAGATAAATAGCTGGGTCAAATGGTGGTTCCATTTCCAATTTGTCAAGAAATCTCCACACTGCTTTCTATATTGGCTGCACCAATTTGCAGCCCTACCAGCAGTGTATGAGTGTACTTTCCCCTCCACATCCTCACCAACACCTATTATTGTTTGTATTCATAATAGCTGCCATTCTGCCTGGAGTGAGATAAAATCTTAGAATAGTTTTGATTTGCATTTCTCTAATTGCTAGCGATGATGAACATTTTTTTCATATATTTGTTGATTGATGTATATCATCGTCTGAGAAGTGTCTGTTCAGGTTCTTGGCCCATTTATTGTGTTATTTGTTTTTTGGTGGTTAGCCTTTTGAGTTCTTTATATACCCTAGAGATTAGTGCTCCATCTGATGTGTGAGGGGTAAATACTTATTCCCAGAATGTAGGCTCTCTATTGACCTGACAGATTGTTTCTTTTGCCAAGAAGAAACTTTTTAATTTGAGTCCATCCCATTTATTGATTTTTGATTTTAATTCTTGCACCAAAGAAGTTTTATTAAGAAAGTTGGGGCCTAATCCCACATGGTGGATATTAGGGCCTATTTTTTTTTTCTATTAGACACAGGGTCTCTGGTTTAATTGCTAGGTCCTTGATCCACTTTGAGTTGAGTTTTGTGCATGGTGAGATATAGGGATTTAATTTAATTTTGCAGCATATGGATTTCCAGTTTTCCCAGCACCATTTGTTGAAGAGGCTATCTTTTCTCCAATGTATGTTTTTGGCACTTTTTCTAAGATAAGATGATTGTAATTTTGTGGATTAGTCTCTGTGTCCTCTATTCTGTACTATTGGTCTACCAGTCTGTTTTGGTGCTAATACCATGCTGTTTTTACTATGCTCTGTAGTATATTTTAAGATCTGGTATAGTGATGCCACTTGCTTCACTTTTCCTGCTAAACATCACTTTAGGTATTCTGGGTGTCTTATGTTTTCAGACGATTTTCATGATTGCTTTTTCTATTTCTATGAGGAATGCCATTGGGATTTTGATTGAAATTGCATTAAATCTGTATAGTTTTTTTAGAAAGAATTTTAACATTTATTTTTTAGTTTTCGGCGGACATAGCATCTTTGTTTGTATGTGGTGCTGAGGATCTAACCCGGGCTGCACGTATGCCAGGCGAGTGCGCTACTGCTTGAGCCACATCCCCAGCCCCTGTATAGTTCTTTTGGTAGTATGATTTTGATAATATTAATTCTGCCTATCCAGGAGAAGTTAGGTCTTTCCATCTTCTAAGGTCTTTTTTGATTTCTTTCTTTAGGGTTCTGTAGTTTTTAATGTAGAGGTCTTTCACCTCTTTTGTTAAATTGATTCTCAAATATTTTATTTTATTTTTTTGAGGCTATTGTAAATGGGGTAGTTTCCCTCATTTTCCTTTCTGAGGATTTGTTGCTGATATACAGAAATGCCTTTGATTTATGGGTGTTGATCTTATATCCTGCTACTTTGCTGAATTCATTTACTAATTCTAGAAAATTCTTGAAAAGTACTTGGTGGTATATCCACCCTCAGGATGGTGAAGGTTATTAGGGGGGAGGGTTGGTCTTGAGGGCAGAGCTCCTGGAAGTGGGGTACAGCACTTACTGGTCCCTCTTGTGAGACTGAACCCTGCTGTTCTCCTTTGGGGCCTGCTCGGGTTATGTGGGCACCTGGTCTTATCTCCTTATATCACCTCTAGATCTTACAATTCCTAGTCTCTAATTTTGTCTTTCAACTGTATCTCATTCACCCTCTCCCTTTCTACTTCCCAGTTAGGAACCTCTTTCTCTGGAGGTCTTGTAGGCTGTGCTCTGGGGGATATGCACCTGTTATGGAGAGCTATTTTCTACTGGGCAGTCCAGGGCCAGGCTTTGTGAGGTATGGACCAGCTGCAGCCACAAGCACTGTGCTGCTTTAGTGGCTGCGGGGGAGAGGTGGGTGTTGGGAAGTATAGGTACCTTGTTGTTGCTTCAGGGCCCCAGCCAGTGTCCCAAGCTGGGAATTGCCCCAACTAAAGATGGCTACAAAGGTGTTCAAAGATACAGGTGGTTGCTTTTAGAGATGGGGTGTCGGGTCACGTTGGGCTGGGTGGTGGCACTGGGTGGAGTGTTCAGAGAGTCGCATGCAGTGCTGTGGCTGGTGGCTGTCTCCAGCCCCTGTCCTGTGTCATCAGGTGGTGGCTACCACGTGTAGGGAACTATGGCAGTGGTTACAGTGTCCCAAGATGGAGGCAATCGGGGAGCTCTACGTTGGCAGATGAGGGTGCACATGAGAATGGTGGCCAGAGGTTCTGCATGTGGGCAGCTCCCTGGTATCCTGCATGGATAGGAGGTCAGGATTCCTGTGCAGGTGGGTGGCCACGGTTCCTGTGCGGGTGCTGAGGCCTGGAGACCTGCATGGGCACAGTGGCCAGGATTCCTGTATGGGAGCAGCTGTCGGGCTCCTCTAGTAACTCACAGAGAAACAGTATTCCCACTACTAGAATCCCTGATCGTGGAGCAATACAGAATGCAGCCTCTCTCCAGCCTGCCATCTTGGATCCTCCTAACAGAAGTTTAAGGCATAAGTTGTAAATGTCTGTAAATATTTTTAAGATTAGACTTAGATTGTGTGAATGATAGTAACATATTTTATTTGAAAAGAAATCATCAATTCTGGATTTCACATACAGAATAGCACCAAAGAAAACATGTAAAGAGTCAGGAGAATTATACTTTTAAGAGTACAAATGAGCTGGTCATGGTGGTGTTCCCAGGAATAAGGGAGGCTGAGACAGGGGGATGTCGAGTCCAAAGCCAGCCTCATAAACAGAGTCACTAAGCAACTCAGTGAGAGACTGTCTCTAAATAAATACAAAATAGGGCTAGGGATGTAGCTCAGTGATCAAGTGACCCTGAGGTCAATCCCCAGTACTAGAAAAAAATAAATAAATAAAAGAGTACAAATGAGCAAGGAAATACTTATTACTTGAGCCACCTCATGGGATGCCTCAATAGTTACCACCATGTGAGTATTTTTCTGCCTAGAAACAACATAGCCAACTGTTTAGCTCTGGTTGACAGACACAATGTGACCTAGCAACAGTGGACAGGAAATGTTCCCACTAGAAGCAAACTTATTTCCAATCTTCTTCTTATTTATTTATTTTCTTTATTTGTTCTTTTTAGTTATACCTGTCAGTAGAGTGTGGTTTGACATATTTATACAAACATGGAGTACAGCATATTCTAATTAGGATTCCAGCATGTGGTTGTACAGATGTAGAGATTCTCTGTGGTGTATTTCAGATGTCCTTTTGCAAATCATTTTGTCTAAGGTCCCTCCTCCCCAACAAACTAACAAACAAGCAACAAAGATGAACAACATTGAAGCCTCTGATGCTTGCACTATTGGATGCAAATTAAAAATAGAGTGGATTAATATTTATTTATCTAAAAAAGGGTGTGTGAACATAAGACGAGAAGCCAACAACATGCATTTCTCATGAGAATATTTTGCTTTGTTAGGCACGTGAGAAATATTGAATTTGAGCTTGACATAAGCAGATAATTACTTTTATTTTCCTTTTTCTAATTTTTTATGCAGAAGATATTTTTTCTTTATTTTCCCATGATATTAAAAGATTGCTCATTTCAAAGGATGCTATCCATTTTTGTTACGGTCACAATACTTCGTATCTCTTTATATCAATAATCCTAATCTCAAAGGAATATGCTTGCCTTCTGTATGATTTTAGCTTGTAGAACTTCCTTATCAAGTACTATTTGAACTCTACCTTTTTCTGCTCCTATTTTGCAGGAATTCTTTCTTACAATAGTTTTGGACTCCACTCTTGGTCAAAAGATGCATCTTCCTGGTTATAACATGCAGTGCCCCTGTCATTAGTGTTCTATGCTTGAGTCCAAGTGCACTGCAAGCAATGCCTATTTTTTTTTTCACAGATCCTTTGTTTGGTCTCACTTTGATGGGAAGAAGGTGGCTTGGGCTGTGAGAGGACGTGATGATGTGGCCTGTGGTGAGTATGTGTTGAAATCATCAGGATTAAATAAAAATATCAGTTAAAATATTTTGAGTTAAAGAAAAATATTTACAAATTATTTTTACCATTTTAATGTTGTTACTAGAAAGTTTTATATTACATTGTGACATGCACTAGACTTTTGTTAGAATTCTGATCTATAGTTTCTGTATATTTTTTGTTTCTATTGTATGTTTCTGCTGGTTCTCATTCATATTGTTATATATGCTTGATGATCATGGTCTCTGTGTGAGATATGCTATATTAAAAGTTACCATGGAAAGAATTTGAAGTTTATGATATTTCCTTCCTCCAGAACCACTCTAATTTGCCTCATGACCATAAGTCCAGAATTACTTCCATTTCAGGAGTTAAGATATTTCAGGCCATGCAGAAGCCTTGAGGCTGGACTGCAGTGAGTCTGAAGACTGGTTTTCCTCCAGTTCACCCTTCCTCTGAGGTCCAGTCCTTCAGGATCACTCCACAAAGGGCAGAGAATTTATCAGGTTCCCTGGTTTTGGCAGGTCATGAACTTCAATATCTTCTTGCTTTGCCCCAGGAAGCTGTCCAAACCTGCATGAGTCACTAAGGGAGGTGCCCCTTTGCTGATCAAAAGACTCCTGGCATCACAACCATACCACTCTATCACAACTAGGAAGCCATTATGTTAGGCTAGGAAACCACCATATTCAGTATCTCACCACAATAGCCACAGCTCTATTGCTGGCTCTGGAATCACACTGTGCCTGTAAGCATCTGTACCCTCAGAATGGATGCCACAGGCCCTGCTCTGGATCCTTTCAAGCCAGTGACCACAGCCCAGGACCTCTGTTAATTGGACAGCAAAGAAACCATTGTAGCAGCAGGAACAACAGATGCCTGGCCTCTGCTCCAGTTCTGCCACATTTGATTGACATAATGTAAAGGCACCTCCAGGAGTTAGGTTGCAAAGGAGTCAGGGAAATGTAGCATCTAGCTCTTATGGTTTCTGTGGTATAGAAGGTACAGTAGAAAGAAGAAACAATGGGTGTCCTGCTCCTGTTCCCCCTGTGTACTCTGCACTTGAAATGCCATTTTAGTTATTGTTTGAAAATCTACAAAAATAATGTTATATCTTGCTTATGAACTAGGTACAATATATCCATACACCTTTACTATACAGTTACCAAAAAGACAGTAATATCAGTAGTGATTTGAAGCATGGCTTCCAGATTCAGCCTGGATTTCAAGACCTGTGTTTGTGTGTGATGTGGGTGCCCATGTTTCCTCAACCTCTCTCCTAGATATTTTATTTCCCTATTCATAAAATAGGTGTAAGGATAGTCTACCTTGAAATACTGTTGCACATTTCAATTAAAATAGGGCATTCAGGAGTCTAAGTGTAGTGCCTGGCTCATCATACCAAGAAACAAACTGCAGCAGAAGATCTAGGTGGTAAAACCAATGCATATCATCTTGACAAGTCACTTAATTTTCTTTGGGTCATTTTTTGTTCTATTAAAAGACAATTTATTTCATTAATCTGGGCAAGACAAATTAGGACCACAAGGAGAAAACATTGAGAATCACTAGATTGGCAAAATATGCCGAAATTGGGCCCTATTAAGTGCTGGCAAAGTCTGTGCTGGAAGAACACAAACTCATATAATACAGAAGCAAATGCCATTAATAAATGTACCTTGGAAGACTATTTAGATTTTTTTCAATAAAATGAAATGCACATATCTCACAACTTCAGTTACACTTCTAGCTACCTATGTAGGAGAAATTTCTATGGAGAAAAATATTCTATATTTTTAAGTTATGTGCAGTAGTTATTCATCTTATGTTTTTATTTCTGATTAATGTTATTCTGAAAAATGTTATATTCATTTGGTACACAATTAAATTTTCATAATGAAATAAGGCACATACCCAAAAGTTTTCAAAAAGAATTCTTACCATCGTATTTAAGCAGTATAATAAAACATATTGTTTGATTCAGAAGTGAGACTATTTCCAGTTGACCTGGGGACTGGAGATTAAGCTCAGTGGCACACCACTAGCCTAGCATGCACCAGTACTATAGTTTGTATCTAGAATGTACCCCAAAGCCCATTGGTTAAAGACTTGGCCCTAGTGTGGCACTATTAGGACTTGTTGGAAACTTTAAGATGGAGGGATGCCACGGGGGAGCTACTGAGAGTTCTGTACTCCTACCATGGTGCGCTGCCTTGCCACACAGGCCCCCAAAGCAATGACACCTCCTAAATTTGGAGCCTTTTATATGAATTCTCTTAATATTTTATCTCAGTGATAGAAAGGTAGAAAGCTGACTAAGAGAGCAAGGGCACAGGTTTGATGTGCACAAAACCAAAAACAAGCAAAAAATCTGAGCTGTATCGCACAAGCAGACAGTTTCAATTATGTAGATTGACTTGTCTTGCTCCTCTCACAGACCAAGTCTGACCAAAAGGTGAAAGGCAAGAAAGTAACACTAATCCTTCTTTTTCAAGAGTCTCTATCTGTGAGCTTATAGTAAAATGCTTTTCCTAAAATTATTTCTAGGTAGTTGTGGGAATTTGTAAATCTTCCACTACAGTTTTTGCTACTTTTTTTTGCCTATTAGTCAAGTTTGTGGTTTAATGATGATGAAATTTTGCTCTGGTTCCTCACACATTTTAAGCTTTCAAAATGACTAACAGCAACAAGTAAGAAATTAAATATTTACATTTAAAATACCTATTGTTGGTACCAATGCAAAAAATTTTATGAGCAAAACCCAAAATATTAATTTTTTAATATTTATTTTTTAGTTTTCAGCAGACACAACATCTTTGTTTGTATGTGGTACTGAGCATTGAACCCGGGCAGCACGCATGTCAGGTGAGGGCGCTACTGCTTGAGCCATATCCCCAGCCCCTTTAATAGAAATTCTAACAAATAGAAAATATAAATGAAATAAAGTGTTCAATTTATATCTTAAATCTTCTTGAAGGTCCTTCTAGAATAGCACATTATACAGGTGATTTTCTTTTTAGCTCTGCATAGCAATCTATGGAATGACTGTTAGATTTATAAGCAACCAGCTGTTTATAAAGATGGTCTCCTGTTAGTTACTTTAACAAATGAGAAAGTTGCAATAACCATACATGTATAAACCTCTACACAATTTCCTAGAATGAATTGCTGTGCAAATTGATACAATTTAAAAGTGTGTCATTTGATCAAGGGTAACATTTTGTAAAAACTTGTATTTGTTAAGTGGAGCATTGACAAGAGAAGTTGAAACTGTTACTATGTGGTGGCACCCCCCACTCCCTTCTCCATAGAGGGGTCTTGGCTGAGCTTCTTCAGAAATCTTCCCAGTGGCTGATTTTAGGACTGTCAGCAAAAGAGTCTCTGCAGGGGAGTTCAGTGTGGGTGGACTTCCCATTTTCCTGTTGCCCTGTTTTGCTTGGCCACTGGCTGTGCAGGGGGAGGGGCAGGGTACCAGCACTCTAGGTGTTGGACACCCTCTTACTAGTTTTTCACAAGCATATCCAGTGTGGTGCTTTGTGGAAATGTGCAAACAAGGCCTCTGGCCTTGAGCTGGGCGTCACAGAGATGTCTACATTTTTCAGATAAGTTGCAATTGGGCTCCCTGGTGTCAGCTGGCAGGGGCAGGAAAGAAAGGGGAGAAGAAGCTCTCCCTTTCTTGGGTGTTGTCCTTGGGGGTTGGTTTGCCCAAGGCAGTGAAAGGGAAGGCTGTTTTTATGTGAACTTCTGAGTCCCTCCCCTTACATGCTGGGTGTAAAATTCTGAGGTGGCCTGGACTCGGAGTTCAGGGGATTGATTGATTATAGCAAAAGCTGTGCCCTCTGAACCTGGCTGCAGCCAAATAAAACTGTTTCCTGTTGTCTTCGGTGCCTTGTCTCGTTTGTCCCTACAACTATAGTAGGAGTGCAAACTGGTACAACTTTTCTCAACAAGAATGTGACAGTATTCATTGTGAATGTAAAAGTAAGAGAATTTCCAGTGGACTATACATTCCCAGTACATGTATTGAAATTGTGTTAAGACTCCTGGGATGATAACAAATAATCCCATAAAATTTTTTTTATCTTGAGTGTGTGGCTAATACCAGAGGATGCAGGCTTGCATGGGGGAGATAATTTATGCAGTCTATAGGCTATATTTTTAATTGTTTGAGTGTTAAATGTGAATATATGTTGGGAGCTGCCACATGGGAGCTGAGCGCCCCCTAGCTTTGAGAGATGGAAATGTGGAGACTGGCTTCCCTGACCAGGAGGCAGGTGGATCCCCATTTCCACTCAGCAGAGGAGCACAACTTTGGGAGTGGGCTGCCCCTTGTAAAATTATCCCTCTGCCTTATATGAGTGGAATGTTCTTTTGAACAGCCTCCCCCCATAAAACCCAGGTTTGAGGTGTGCTCCTTCTCTTTCTTGCCTGCCTTGCCCCCTTTGTGAGAGCTGAATCAGAGGACCCATCACAGAACCCAAAGAAAAAGGTGTTTTCTTTGTCTTTGTGTGATTATTTCATGCCAGGCTAATACATCTGGAGTGATTCTGACTGGTTTAGTCATGTGTTGTGGAAAAATATATATATAAATTTGGGGGTACTGGTGGGTGGATGGTAGCAGAGATTGAACTCAGGGGTGCTTAACAACTGAGCCACATACCCAGCCCTTTTTATATTTTATGTAGCAAGAGGGTCTCACTAAGTTGCTTACTTAGGGCCTCACTAAATTGCTGAAGCTGGCTTTGAATTTGCAATCCTCCTGCATCAGCCTCCAGACCTGCTTGGATTCCAGGCATTCACCACCACACCTGGCTCTCTTTTATTTCTAATTGAGGCTTTAATTTTTAAAAAGTGGACAGATACTATTGGGTGTATTTGTCATGGACACTATAATGCTTGAAATATGTATATTTATTCCAATCTTCTTAGTTAACTTTATCCTGTGAGGTTTTCCAACAGGTATCCTGTTCATAAAGTCCCATCAGACTATCTGGATT